GAGAGAGAGAGAGAGAGAGATCATTGAAAGAACATTGAAACGAGAGAGGCGTGGAAGGCGAAAAAGAGCGAAAAAGGAAGGAACACTTTACGTAAGCGGAGGCCGCAAGCTTTTACCTTTCAGCGCGGAGAAAATTCCTCCGCGACAAAAAGCGAACGTGTTGCATTTTTCCTTCGCCGACTCGAGTTCAACAAATCCGGATGCAATCCGCAAATCTACTCGCGTAACCAAGAATTTCGTCGTGGATTGGGATCGTTTCGATCTTGGGAATCGCGTAAATTTCGTTCGCGCGCTTTCGATGAATAATTCATCGGTTTGGATCGGATGGAACGAATGGATTCGTTGCTTTAGATTGAACGAAGATGGTTCGAGTTAGGAGTTAGTTAAAGTTTGATCGAGTCGAGATTGCACTGGATTGATAAACGTTGAAATTTGACGCCCTTCTTTCTTCCGTTTTGTGGATCATTTTGAGCGTAATTGGTGGGTAAAATAGAACGATCGATATACATAGTGGATTCTTTGGATTCTTTGTTGGAAAGTTTTTGAAAAAAATTTGTAAATATCAAATTTTGGAAATTTTGAAAATTTTGAAAAAATTCTGAAGAGAAAGGGGAATTAATGAAGTTTGTAAATCGAATTCAAACAATTCAAATTCTTCGTCGTATTCGAAAGTGTAACAATCGAACGAGTTGTTGCACATTGGAATACATCGAGAAAATGCAAATGATGTAAATTTTTCATTATCAGATCGAAGTTTTAGATAGTTTTATTGTATTTTCAAGATACACTTTTGCACAGAATTCGAAAGCAAATCAAAACACATTGTGGAAGTAATTATTACTGCAGTTACTGAAATCTGCATCGATCCGCGTGATTTTCGAACTTTCGATCGTTAATTACAACCACCATCACCAATACCAGTTCACCAAGAAAAAGTCGTTCGAGGTCAGTGAAACGCAGAAAATATATGAACGATCAAAATGATTAATTTGCAAAACATGTAGTATCTATATATTCATAACAACAAATTCGTTAAATTAAACAGAGAATCAATTAAAAGAATTATTAACTCTGTTGCAAATCTTGTAAAGATTATCTAAATTTACTTTCACTGGATAAATCAAATTATTATACTTTGATGAACAAAATATAATATAAATATGATTAATAAATATGAAAGCAAATAATTCATTTTATTTATTCGTTGTTTAAAAAAATAACTTGATTGATATTATTCCTAATTTAAATAATAATTCTAAAACGTTTCAATTATATTATATACGTGTTCTATTTTATACGTTTTTTATTTATTTATTTATTTATTTTTCTTTCTATTCTTTTTTTTTTTTACTATTATTATTTTATCAATTCCTTGTTACTTTAGAAAGTATAAATTTTAATTGCCTAACCACTATTATTGTAAGATTATTCTTTACTTCATTTCATTATTGCTTTCAAAGAGGTAAAACGTCAATATATTTGCAATCAACTTCCGTCAATACATAATGGAATATATTTTCTTTACTAGCAAAGTTATGAGCGAAGAATGTTTCTCAATAATAGTACATCGACTTTTGAACTTTGTTCAAATAAACGCGTTAATTAACTAATTTTTTTCTCTTATTAACATCGATTTTACAACAAACACGGTTTCGCCTTATAAAATATATACTTTGATACTCGTATAATTTATATTTATATTCATATTTATATAAATTATATAATTCTCAAGATCTCGAAATACGTATCTAAGAAATTTAATTTAATTTCGAACCTTCTCTGTAGTTGCAATTGTATCAGAAAAAGAGAGAAAGTTATTTTAAGAAAAACGTGGTATAATATATGGTATAAGATAATTAGTTGAAAATATACGTACCATTTTATAATACCGTTGTATAAAAGTGTTCAAACGTTAAAAAATTAAATAACAAATGAATAATAATTATATACACATGAAAAACCATACACGAATCGAGTAAAATTTGATAAATTTAAATGTGTCGAACAAATGTTATAAATCATTTACACCACAAGAGTCAATTATTATCAATAAAAAGAATTTTATTTCACTTATCTTGTGCTATCCTTCCTCTTTAAAAATCACGTTATTGCAATCACAATATCTTGATTGAAATAAAAAATGTGAAAATCTTCATCATGAAAAAAAAAAAAAACCAAAGAAATATCCTACCAATGCATCCGTGGAACAATTAACTATTAAAAACCAATATTTATCTCATTGAACAATATCTCGTTTCTCTATAGATACCGGAAAGAAAGAGCAGATCGAGGCAGTAAACTTGGAACTGGTCTCGATGAGGCCTTACGCGGGCAACAATCTCCAAACGAAGGGCCAGGAAGCTTGCGAGGTTCCAGCCGATCCCTACGAGGAGTACTTCGTTCCAGTGAACGAGCATCGAAAGTACATCAGGTAAAGGAACGGATGAAAAATGTTCCCCTACTCTCTGTGTTCTCTTCCTGGCTACTGTTTAACATTCGATCGTGTTCACCAGTCCGGGGCGTTACAA